CAGCAGTGTCTCCCTTTCTTTCCTGGGTTTGCCGAGAGATGAAAGTAACTGGGATTTTTCTTTTTTTTCTTTCTTTTTTTTTTTTTGTTACATTTATTATTTTTTGTATTTTTTATCATATTCATTATTACAAATTGTAATTATTCTTTATGTCACTTAACCAACCAGTCACTCCCCACCATATGTCCCTTAACCCACCTCCCTGCCTCCCCTTCATCTCTAGTATCCTTAGGTTTGTTCTCTCCTTTTGAAAGTTCAACATATTATTATGGTTTCTTCCCTCCAAATACCACACGTCCTCCACCCGGCATTTCTTAACGTCTTGTATGGAAATTTGCTCTGCTGCTTGCTTAGTGGCATGACTTAGAATCAAACCACTACCTTTGAATTATCAAGTTCCCTTTATCTAGCCCTTCTTGCTCTGGGGTTTAGTTCTGAGTCCAAGATGAGGAACCTCCTGTAGCATCTCCCCCTAGGCTAGGGAGTCTCCTGGCTCCAGGGGTATGTGCTTATTTTCTTTGAGGCATAAGGTCTTAGCAATCTGAGCTTTCCAAAGTGAGACAGTTCAACGTCATTTCCTTTGAAGCTGCTCTACTCTGAAAATTAAGGGAAGAACTCTCACCCCCCAATTAAATGTTCAATTGAGAAATTAGTCAAACCTGAGCTGAATTGGGACTTGATTGTACAATTGTGCAGAGCAGCTGCGAGACCAGGAAGCAGGGAACAGCCAGGATGGTGGACAGGAAAGGACCCGAGTGAGTCCCTGGGCTGATGTAGCATCCTGTCCTGAGCCAGAGCGTGGTGCTCACCACCATGACCCCAGGTGCAGCTGTCGCTCGTTTCCTTTGAAGCTGCTCTACTCTGAAAATTAAGGGAAGAACTCTCACCCCCCAATTATATGTTCAATTGAGAAATTAGTCAAACCTGAGCTGAATTGGGACTTGATTGTACAATTGTGCAGAGCAGCTGCAAGACCAGGAAGCGGGGAACAGCCAGGATGGTGGACAGGAAAGGACCCGAGTGAGTCCCTGGGCTGATGTGGCATCCTGTCCTGAGCCAGAGCGTGGTGCTCACCACCATGACCCCAGGTGCAGCTGTCGCTCTTGTTCCAGTTCCCATCTTGCATTTCCATCTGGGTGTTCTTTCACTCCAGGGAGCAGGCGTGGTTTTGAATTTTTAAAATTCTGAGCAGGAGACACAACGGATTGAGCAGTAATACAGTAGGCATGGAAGGAGGGTTAGGGGAGAACCACAGGAAGGATGTGGATCACTTGCTTGTGGGGGGGGGGGCCTCGGAGCCACTGCCTTTTCAGATCCCCAGGGGCCGGGCTGGCGGGATTGGGGAGGCTGCTTCTGCTGTGCCCTCTGAGGGCAGAGTGACCCACCCTGGCTCTGAGCAGGAAGGGGAGCTTAGGCCTGCCAGATTTGCCCCAGCCTCCGGGACTTGATTCCTTTTTATTTTCTAATTCCACCCTCAAATGTGTTGAAATGAAGCTGCCAGGGTTCATCACTGGCCAGCCAGTCCCCTCTGATTGACAGGCCTGTGCTCCCACTGCAACTTGGCAGAGTGGCCGGGCTTCAGGATTTTATTTCCTCTGCAGAATGTGTGTTTTATTTTGTTCCCTCTCTGGTGGTGTTACAGGTGTAGTAGTCTGCAGAGAGAAGTAGGAAGGGTGAACCTCATGGCCAGCTTCCTACACATTGTCCTTCCCTGTTTTCAATTCCAAAGTGTGCGTGTGCATGTGGGGTGTTTCTCTTGCTAGATTTTAGACACTCTTTTTAAAATGGGGTTTAATGGGGCATTTCCAAAAGCAGCTGAGCAGCCTCCGTGGGGGCAGCTAGTGGGGCAGGTGTAAAGTCTTGAGTACAGAATGATTTAAATGCTGTGGTTGGGCCGAGCCCGTGGCGCACTCGGGAGAATGTGGCGCTGGGAGCGCAGCGGTGCTCCCGCCGCGGGTTTGGATCCTATATAGGGATGGCCAGTGCAATGCGCTCACTGGCTGAGCGCGGTGCGCATGATTTAAATGCTGTGGTTGGGCCGAGCCCGTGGCGCACTCGGGAGAGTGTGGCGCTGGGAGCGCAGCGGTGCTCCCGCTGCGGGTTTGGATCCTATATAGGGATGGCCAGTGCAATGCGCTCACTGGCTGAGCGCGGTGCGGCCGGTCACAAAAAGGACAAAAAATAAATAAATAAAATAAATAAATAAATGCTGTGGTTTTTCTGTCTGAGTGTGGGGAGGAGTGGTGGACAGTGCTTTCTGTCTAAATTCTAATTACAAGGCAAACAGCAGGTGCAGACACTGTAACTGTATGGTGTCTTCTGCAGTGACTGGTTGGCTCTGTCCATTGGAACCATTCTGAATTATTTTTCCATCTTTTTCAGGTGACATCACACAAAAAGGATACGAAAAGAAGAGGTCAAAATTAATTGGAGCCTACCTTCCCCAGCCTCCGAGTACGTAAACCTTGATGAGTAGCATGAATCACCTGGTCTTAAGAGTTAACTGCAACATGCTAGATAAACGAGAGTGGGTCCTTCCTTGTCCCGAATCCGCACCAAGATCGTGTGTTTGACCAGCACACATCTAACTCCTTTGTACAATCACACATGTATTTTGAGAACATAGAAAGCACGATTTTTCTATAAAAGTACCTAATAAATTTAGTAGGTATTTCATCTATAGGTAGAGATCAGTAGCATACTGATTACTTTAAAATGATATAATCATAAAAAGTATGAGAACATTTGTGATTTAAACACGAATTTTGGTTCAATGAGTTAATTATTGCTATTGATTATGGTTTAAATTAATCCAGTGTTTTTGGTGATGTCATTGAGTGCCAAATCTAGAAATGTAGAAAATGATGCGATATCCTGCCTAAGATTATGTAATTGTAAAGGTTGGTTGTGCTTTGAAATGTGGTTGTAAAACGTGTTTTATTCATTGCTCAAAAATATAAAGTCTTTTACATGCACAAACTTGTAGAATATCTGCACTTGAGTTGTGTTCTGTAAATTTCAGAAAAAAGAAAATGGTATTAGACTGGAGTCCTAACACCTCAGTAGCAGTGTAAGCTCAGTTCAATTTGAGGGTGACCTTGAAATTTTGCTAGGCTTTAGGAATGGCTTAAAGCTAATGTAAGCAATTTTTTCCTCAAGAAAAAGGATAGTAATATCAACCTTAGAGGTGAAAACTGAACTCCCCAGTTCTCACTGTTGAAACAAAGTTTGAAAGGGGTTAAGCGCGCACGTGTACCCTGCACACATGACAGCTCCGTCCCTGAGGCTCTGGCGCACACGGTGGTGTTTTTAGCATGGTAAGGAGTGTCCTGGGGCTCATGTTCCAGGAAACTGTGTTGTTGAGTTTCTGCTGTATTTTTAGTTTTGTTTTTATTTTGTGTGCTTTTCTGTCTTTCTTTGATTTCTAAGACAGTGGATGTAAAGGTGGGCCTGTTTGCATAGGGTTTTGTGGTGGTCTAGCTTATGAATGGAAGGGAACCCTGTTCTATCTGAGAGAAGAAAAGGTGAACAGGTTGAAACCCACGTGTGCGAGGCTTCAGGGCAAGTGTGGGGCAGATCAGACAGGGTCCTCCTTCCCTCTGTCTCGTCTCCTGACAGAACTGCAGTGACAAGGCCATTCTGGTGCCTGTCAGCCCTGCAGGAAGCTGGTGGGCTGTGTGTGGGTGAGTTTAGTTTAGTTTCCGTGCCTTCCCAAACAAAAGTGAAACAGAAGCAGTTCCTCACGTCCCCGAGGATGGTCTGGAGACGTTGTGGTGGCCCATGCGGGGGTCGCGAGCCGCATGTGGCCGTTGGTGGTCTGTGCTCTCCTGCATGGCAGCTCTGCTCAGCGCTGTAACAAATTTAAAAAAAACTAAAGTTTGAATTAATTAGTTTTTTTTCAACTTGTTACAGCAGCGAATGGAGCTGCCGTGGTTCGGTGTAGACTGCAGCACAGTGAAGGTGCGACGAGAAGACCGTTCCGCTCTGCCCACATCGGGGTGTGCGACGTCCGAGAAGCCGCGGCCCGGGAGCGGGCGGCCAGCGCCACAGGGAACCGGCCTCTGTTTTACTTTCGTTTCGGTGAGCGCTGCTTTGCGGAGAGGGAGAGAGACACCCCCCAGCAGGGTACACGTTTGAGCATGGGCCAGCCTCCTGACACCGTTCCACACAAAAGCACAGGGCAAGGCCTGGGGGACCAGCAAGGACCCTTCTCCAGGGAGCCTGAGCCTCAGTGCTCCTTAATCACCCAGCTTATCACAGACCCCAGACACTGATCACCCCTGAGCCAGGCCCAGATCTGTGTATTTTCTGTGAAAATGGAATGTTCTGTTTTTATAACCCTTTTACTCAGTTGGGACCCAACTTAGAAACACTTGAGAGAAGAATGTATGACAGACTTTAAAACTGCTGGTCTTCAACTAACTTTTGTCCTATAGCCAAAGACCTGGGGAGAGAATGAACCATCGAATCGTGGGTGCTCACCTGCCCCAGGGAGTGACTCTGACACCCACAACTCTGTTGCAGTTCTGTCTCCAAAGAGAAAGGTTATGGGTCTTTGAAATAGAAAAATGAAACTGATTAATCATAGAGTGTATTCTTAGAGGTAACGATTCTATCCAGAGGTGGAAATTACTTTGGCGGACCATGTTTTGAATATGAGAAGTGTTAAAGGCAAAAGGTGAGTGCAGCGGCACCTTTCAATAGAGTAAGAAAGTAAGCGTTTGTAAAGGCTTTTCTTACTATGGTGGGCCACCAGGATGTCCAAAGAGGTGGCCCTGGCCTCCTCACTTGGCTCAGGCTTGTGTCCGTCCAGCGCCGTGGCCTCACAGGAAAGCATGGAAGAGCTGACAGTGGGTGACAGTGGCGGGGGGCAGCAGGGTCCATCTCAGAGTTTATCTGATTAAAATATGATGAGGATAGAACTTGCTGGGAATGTGGGTCTGTCGGGCTCAGCGAGACCCCAGTTCCCACGAGGAAGGCATCTGTGTCAGGGTCGGGGCTCAGCTCCAGTTCTCTCTGAGAAGATGCTGCTGGTGATCGACCCTCGTCGTGCGTGGCCTTGTTCTCTGGGAAGCAGTAAGTGAAGCAGATGTTTCTAAAGCAGAGAATTCTTTCTTGACTGTCTCCGTGTGGGGAATAATTCTTTTCGTGTAGGATCCTTATGGAAAACATCCTGTTCTCTTTTTGGTCTCCCCTGTATTACCATACACTTTCCATAAGGGTTTGGTGTTTCGAAGACCCTTACTTCTTTTTTTATACACGTTATTTTTATTTACCAGAGAAAATGTTAAAGTTTCTCCAGAAAGTCTTATAAAAATATTTCTTAGATGTTACTTGGGACACATGATTCAGCAAAAGGACCAGAGTCCCTGAGCCGCGGTCACTTCCTGGAGGGCACTGAAGATGCTTAGGGGCAGGTGGCTATTCTGGGGTCTCAACAGTGAGTCAGGTGCCAACCAGAAGGTACATGGTCTCCAGTGAGCACCGCACTGAATGCTTAGCTAGGTCAAGATGAGAAGTGTGGCAGAAGGGAGGCAAAGACATGGAAAGTGCATGTGTGGAGGAGGAAAGGGTCATGAAGAGTAGACTGGAAGTCACGTGTGGGAGAAGATATTGCCCAGCAGCTCCTCGTTTGGTGCTCTCAGACACTTGCAGATTTTCAGCTGTGCGGTGTCTCGTTCCAAATCACCCTTCATTAATCTCTAGACCCGATTAAGCCTGTAAAAATAGAAAACAAAATCCAGCATTCAGCACTCTCTTCAGGGGTATCTTAATAACTTGGTGTCAACTTTTGCAATGAGTCTCTGCTGTTTCTCACGTGCATTAGCTAGGCACTACTTTTTACATGACTGTCCCTGAGATGCTTCTCAGTTCTGAGCGATTTGTGTAGACCTTGTGTTCTTCTCCAAGCTCAGCTGCTCTTCCTCAATGCTAGGCAGCCTCTCACTGAGTTACATGTTATGGATTCTTTGTGGCTGAGCAGTTTCCAGACCGTGTGGACTTGGCTGGCGGGAATCAGCGAGTCTTCTTTCTTTCCTTACCATTCCCTGCAATCCAGGGAGCGGCCCTCCTGGGACAAGAGGCCTCTAGTGGCTAGTATGAGCTCACCCTTGGTCACACATGTGTCCGCCAGAGGCCGCGGGGCCCCTCCTGGAGCATAGCTTCTTGCTGCATGTGGAACCTCCTCCAGCCCTTCCCGCTGTGGGCTCCCCGGGTGTTCATGCTGCTTTCCACGTCGCACACTCTGCACGTGCTGTGTCCTTTGTGCCCAGGTACTGTTTAAAGCTTGGAGCAAATGCAACTTCTCAAGGATTTCTCGTGGGTCCTACTGTAGACTCTCCGTGATCGTGGGTGTGTGGTGGTTGAAAATGTCAGTGCCTGCCCTCCCACTGCAGCAGGGCACAAATGGCTGGAGGACACATGGTCTCCCGCACACAGCACATGGACCTTGGTCAGGTACTTGCTGGGTGGATGGCAGTGGACGGGGAGTTCTGTCCCCTCAGGAGCATGGTCCAGTCACGTAACTGCACGCAGTTCAGGAGGCAGAGCTTTCCCTCCACACCCACCAGACCCACCTCGTGCAGGGCATGGAGGCACCGAGAGAGCAAAGAGCATCAAGGATGGCCCAGCCGAGGTGCACGTGGACACTCAGCACATTGCATGGACCCATGACACCCAAACCACCGGGCAGACAGAGGCCTCCCACTGCTTCAGGTCCTCTCTGAGAGTACAGTTTCACTTTTGTTTCTGGTTTGGATAAATCTAAATGGCACATGGTCAAGTGCTCATGGATGACTAGAACATCAAAGGACACCATGATTTTGAATGTCAGCAGTTTCCAACCAGTGGAATTGCATGGACCCATGACACCCAAACCACCGGGCAGACAGAGGCCTCCCACTGCTTCAGGTCCTCTCTGCAAGTACAGTTTCACTTTTGTTTCTGGTTTGGATAAATCTAAATGGCACATGGTCAAGTGCTCATCGATGACTAGAACATCAAAGGACACCATGATTTTGAATGTCAGCAGTTTCCAACCAGTGGAATTTTATTATTATTATTTTTTTTAAAACTCAGCTTGAACATCTCAGTACTTGATGCTGCAACTGGAGATAAGCCGTCTGACATGAATTCTCTTAAGGGGAGTGACCCACCTTGGCCCCCTGCTGT